GCTCAAACCCACAACTCTAGGTTTATGGACATTTCTGGACACTTATGGTTTGATTTCTTTGTATGTATGGATCACTTGGGTTGTTACCAACATCTGGTGAAAATTTCATGTCATTATCACCTCTAGTAATATATTTACTGAGAAAAATGGTGACGTGTTCAATACTTATTTTACCTGCTGTATGATTTCAGCAATTTGAGTGAGTTGGAAAATCTGAACTTTTGCAGCTCGACAAGGCGCATCGACCAATCAGAGAGACTCCACTGTGTTGTGTAGTGACATATTGTCCGACGGGACAGTTTCCTGAATGATGTCCACTAACCTGAGACAGACGGACAGGAGCTCTTTAGCTGAAACCAAGTGCCTGTAGTCGGTGTCCTGGCAGGAGATATCAGCACCGATGCGGGTCAGTGGCACATCAAACTCGACTCGGGACAAAATAAGTTCTGAAAGTGAGCCTCATTAGCTCGCATCTCCATGGTGGTGAAACCCACCAAACTCAGAACGTCTCTGTATTATTTGGTGAATTAATTATGAATTAATTAACTGATGAGCACGACGTTCTCCTGCTCTCATTAAATAAAGCAAAGCCACTTTCTTTATTTCATCCGACATTAAACAGAGACCAACAGAGGAGGAGAGACCGGCAGAAGCGGGGTCTCTAGACACGCGTCAAGCGCTTCAAGAGCTTCAAGAGCATTTTTGACTCGTGTCTGACCTGAACGTGCACGATTTTGACCCTGAAATCACATTTGGTGTGAACGCAACATAAAGGTTAACATTTACATAAACTGTAATGAAATTTAGACAGTTGGAGTTAAGATGGGAAAATTTGCTTTGGAAGTAGTGCTGCTTGAACTAGCCAGCCTAGCCTGAGTGGATCCATGCACTTCCAACGGGAATCACTGCTGTCTTCAAACAATTTCAGTTTTCAAAAAATTTCAGCAGTTACTGCCATTATTTAACCTTTAATGTCAGTTTCACACATGGATATTTTGACAAAAAGATTACAAATTTTCTGGCAAAAAACAGCAAGATATTATTTTTTTAAACCTTCACTTTAACTTTGTCATATAATTACCCCTAAAAAAATTGTAAAAGTGAAATATGAGTGAAAAATATTTTTATTGGAAGGAAGGCTGACTTTGGATTTTTAGCAGCAGGATGAAGTCAGAAGCTGTTAAATCTGAGAGGAGGAGAACAAAAAGGGAGACAGAGGGGAGAGGACACTTTCTTTCTGCCGGCGGCAGCAACGTTGATCCGGATGAGAGGTGACCAGTGTTGGAGGGGAGGAGGTGAAGGTGTGTGTGTGTAAGTGTGTGTGTGCACGCTCATCCGTGTGTGTGTGTGTGTGTGTGCACGCGCATCCGTGTGTGCCGCCAGCGGAGAGACAGCAGGAGCCCGCCTCGCCTCCTCTCTGTTTCCCCCGGACACAGGCAGCAGCTGGCGGGCTGAGATGTGAAGAGGACTGAAGTATGGCATGCAAGGATGGTGCCTGCCAAGAAGGAGATGGTGACAGTGACGCCACCCGCCTTTATTCGGATCCTTCTCTACTTTTTGTGTTTGACGACTTGGTGAGTGTCTGTCCTGTGGGGTGCTGAATCCACCCTCCCCCACTCGGAGGTGACTCGATTTTGGTGCTGAAGTTACTGCCTTTATTCCCCTCAATTATAGTGTGAAGAAAATCTGTGGACAAACAAAGAGGGATGAAAAGATCTATCCGAAGAATTTCACTTGGATTTTGGACCGGCTTCTGGACGGCTATGACAACAGACTGCGACCTGGATTCGGAGGTATTTAAGAGAAATGGAATTTTTGAGCACAGAATTAATATTAGAAAAAAATACGGTCCAAGTTTTGGAAGTCTTAAAATTAGAAGATGGGATATAGTTTTATGCTTTTTAGCTCAAGCAGAAAGAATGCAAAAGCTCCAAAATCCTACTGAGAAAATTTATGACATTTTCCCAATGGAGCCATCATAAGCACATTTTAAGAATAACTCCCATGCCTACTGTAACTTGTTTATGATATGGAACACATAATAATACTCTAAACCCACTAAAGAGAACAAAAACACCTTTATGTTAAATTATATTGATCTTGAAGCACTGCAAGCTGTCTAAATAAAGGAAACCAAAACGTTTAAATATTACTTAAAGTTCTGTGTGATTTAAAAACAAACAAACAAACAAACAAACAAACAAAGTGAAGTCACTTTATTTGATCATATGAAATCACTGCCTGACATCCTTCCTGGACATTTTATTAGCTCAAAATCACGTTGCTGTATAATTTAACAACACATGAGTCTTTTCACTGAAACAGATTAACCTTCTGAAGAGGAGCGCTGAGGATTTGCACACGAGACTGAGAGCACTTATATAATCCTGTTCATATGTAGAAGAATGATTGCTAAAATATGTTTCTTCTATAACTGCTTTTAAAGAACCTGCTTTTTTCGAAGAGACAGACCTGCCTGCTGGTTTCCTGTGCAAAGCAGCCTGTTACAAATGTCCATATGAAGTTGTTCACTCTGTGATTTGACAGTCGTTCAGTGATTAAAAAAAAAAAAAGCTCCAACAGGATGACATTTTTGAAGTTATTTTTTCCTCCTGTACTAAATGCAGAAATCTATACAGCACTCGAGGGTCCTGATGGGTCACAGACCGTGAAACAGGCATGAAAACAGGTTTAAAATTATTTGTATGTCCATTTTGAAATAGATTTCTGTGAAGAAAATTCTAAACAATTCCTAGCTGACATGTTACTTGCTCTCTTTGAACAACTTCAATTTGGACAAACAATTTCAATCGACAGTCTGGTCATTTTTGAAATAATGTCCTGTCAACCAGTTATCAATTTAACACCCACAGTGTTAATTTTAACACCAACAAAGTGTCTATATGTGTCCACACTCACTGGTGTTAAAATAACATTTGTGAAAGTGTTAAATTTTAACACCCATTTCTTTGTTAATTTAACACCAACCAGTGCTAATTATTCAACAATACTGGGTGTCACATTAACATTTCAACTGTGTTAAAATATAGTGTTAAAAGTATCACCAGTACATTATTATTATCAATGGAAATTGTGGTATTATAAAGGTTAACAGATACCACACGGTGTCAATACACCATGAAATTAAGAGTGTAAATTTAACTCAGAGCTAATATTAACTTTTTGTAACACTACTTAGTAGTTATTAGAAAAGCATAATGGAGTCACTCTTCACACACCAGGACGTAACTCTCACTCATGGTGTTGATTTATGTCCAATAACATAAACTTAAAGTTGAACAACTTGATCAAACTGAACAAGAAAACTAACCTGAAAAACTAATTTTTACTCTCATGAACGTCTTTAARGGTCATAAACATGTAAAAACATAATTTCTGCAAGATTTCTCAGCAAGGAATGCTGGGTAAATGCTGGTCTGTCTGACATGAGGTGGAAGAAGGCGGGGCTTTTCTYAAAACTTTTTCAACACTGCATGGTGTCATATAGCAACACTGTTAAATGTTATATAAGACTTAACTGTGGGCGGAGCTTATTTAACACTGTCCAGTGTTGAGACAACACTGAGGAAATCAACATTGTGAATTAACACCAACACRGGGTGTGAGTGTAGTCAGACAGTATTAAAATAACACTAGGGGGTGTTAAAACAACACCCAAAAGTTTAACACTGAATTTTTAACACTCTTGCTTTTGCTGTGATATGGTATCCAACATGACAACAGTGAGAGAGCGTGGAGAAAGGAGAAAATGGCAAAAGTCTTTGTCCTGACTGGTCTAAAGATGAGCCAAATGAGCACCAACCAATTAAAATGTATGAAAATTAGTGACAAGACCAGAAGCTGTAAGTTGACTCAACCATGGATGAGAGTGTATGCTGGCTGCAATACAAATTTGTTCAAATAAGCATCTTTTCCATAGGTTTGGTTTCAGAGGTTTTAAAAAAGTGTCATATTACACTGTGATTGTCTGTGTAACAACCTGTCAGGCAACTGAAAAATTACTTGGGGAGCGTTTAGAGTATTACAGGGGGCATTGTGAGGCTTTTGGGGGGCATTTGCTTGTGAAAAAGGTTTACACCACCAATGCAGACGAAAACCAAGTAAAAAGCACTCAAAATGAAGTGAATGAGAGAACGTGAAAGAGAGTTTATTTATTTATTTTAATCATTTTTATTGTTTACATAGCCAAATTTAAAATATGAAAGCACTTGAAAGCACCACTCAGTTCCCACAGCCTGTGTGGGCGGCTACCTAGCAAAACATCTTAACAGTGGGCTACACTCAAACCATGTTCAGCTTATCAGTTCAGGTGAAGTTGGAATGTTTTTTATTTGGACTGATGAGATAAGCCACCTTTTAAGAGGACTGAGAAAAAGAGAAGATAATCCTTGAGTTTGACTATAAAAGAAGAGCAAAACCAGCAGAGAGCAAAGCCAGATCACGTGCCTGGAGCTGAGTTGGATTAAACAGTTTAAACAGTTGGTCTAAAACTATCTTCCTGGGAGGCTGTGAGACCTGAAGTCAACGAGCTTCACCAGTGAACATAAAGCAATGGTGAGAAATGTGCTATTTTCTTATTTTATGTGGTTTTGCTGTAAGTGTGACAGTACAGAAGTTACGGAGGTGAACTAGGTGAATAATGGTGCAGTGTTTTGAATGTGTGACTAATTTTGAGAGCTCAGCAGACAGTTAGGTTTCACTTTCACTTTGACCCGAGGGCCTGCAGGAGTCATGGGCAGGGTGTGTGGGGAGGGGGTGCGCTCTGCCATGAGGAAGTTCGGCTTAAAAACACATCTGGGCGTTTCTGGCCCCCACTTGTCATTTTGCTCCTTATCATGGCTTCCTAAAAACGCTGCAGGATTTCTCAAACATGCATGAATGAGTCAGAGCAAGGCTTTGGGCATGTTTTTATGAGAGTATAACATCATAACATGATATAAAACTCAAAAAAATTGATTTTACATGATATTGCCCCTTTAACAGCGAGCTACTGCAATAAGAAGCAGGAACAGTTTTTACAGTGATTAAAATAGATGAAGCCCTCCTGAAGGTTCTCAAATATCTGTACCTTCTATGATGGTAGTGGGAGCAAACAGAGCATAAACACTTTCTCTCACTAACTCTGACAGAAATATTAGAACATAAGGAAACGATAGGAGCAACAACAGCAGGACCCCCTGTGCATAAAACAAAGCTAGAATACAATACAAGACTGAGCAGGGTCATGATGTGAAAAAACACATCAAGACTAAATGCAATAAAAAAGCATAAAATTACGCATCAAGATCTCAGTTCTCTTTCTGTGAAGATGCAGTCTAAAATGATCTTGTCTGGTCCAAAATGAGTCAAAATGAGTAATAAAACCAATTCCAATAGCATCAGTAAATTTCTTCAACCACAAGTGTGAACTAAAAAGACGACTAAAACGTTCAGAGGTTTTAGTCATGGAGTGAATGGAGCCAGACAGAACACATTGTTTCCCCAGACTCTCTACTGTAGTGGCCAACAATTCAAACACAATAAAGTCAGCAGTTTTTCCTCCAGAGAGTGAGTGCTGGTACCAACAAATGATCGAGTTACCAATGACAAGATCTCTGGATGCTCAGATTCCACATCATGTTCATACTTCTTGTGTTTTGATCTGAATTTAAGAACATTTATTGTCAGAGTACAGATGAGTTAATTACCCAATCTGTTGGAGATGCTGGGGGGCCCAGCAACAAGGATGCGGCACTTCCCAAACCAGCAGGATCAGATGTTGCCTCCGACGGAGCAGTTCAGCATCGGTAACTCAGAACAGCATCTCTAATCAGCTGGCAGTGAGAGAATGAAGAAGTGGAGTTTCCAAATCTGATTATTTCTTTGAGTCTGGACAAAAACAGAATGACTTTTGTCAGAGTTTGATGACCGATGAACTTTATCATGAGATGACAGCGGACTATTCGCCTCATCTGTCAGGTGATTTTCAACTTCATTCTGAAGAGGTGAGAAGCAGTTCCTGGTTTCTACCTGCAACCATGACAAAGTCTGTTTCAGTTCATAACATCAGCCTAGGACAATTTATTTGGAGATGGCTGTGACTGAGTGGTTAGGGTGGTCTTTTCGCTAATGCGAGAGTTGGTGGTTTCCCCACCATTCTGACACATGTTGAAGTGTCTCTGGGCAATTAAGACACTGAAACCCCACTGCCTTTAATGTTTGTTCCATCAGTGTATGAGTATGGTTTAAAGCACTGATTAATCTCTATAGATTGATTTACTTGTATTAGCTTTATAGAGAGATCTAATAGTATTGATTTAGGGTTAATGTGTGTGAATGGGTAAATGAGGGCACAGATTGTAAAGTGCTTTGAGTATCCTGTTGGATAGAAATAAGTACAGTCCATTTACCATTTACCATTCAATTCAGTGTGGAAGTGGGCAGGAGCCTTTGTTTTAGCCCCCAATTGAGTCCAATTTAAGACAGCTGTAGGCACGTAAACCCACTCTAGTTTCGCATTCTGAGCAGGAGAGGGGTCGCAACGGACAGCAGCCAATGGAATGGGTTGGCTGCACTAAATTTTAGTAGTATATTGAGTATGTTATCTTTGTCTCTTTTCAACTTTTCCAGTTAAATGATTTTGAAATCCAGCAAGAATTAGAGGGGGCACTGGCCCAAAAAAGGTTGAAAAACACTAGTTTAGACGGTAATGACGAGCTGTGACTTGTCTAAGCAGCCCACTTCCAAAATGAAAAACTCTAATCCTCAAAATTGTGCATCACATATCAACATACATGTCAAGTTGTGTGGGTTGTCCATAAATTACACAGATTTTTCTCACTTTTGCAGCTATATGGACATTAATGGCAATCTCAGATTTTTTTTCAAAAATTCAGCTTCAAAATTATTTTACAATACTTCAACAATGTCCTTCCTATATGCACCATTTTATATATACAAAAAATCAAATAATTACTATCAACAACATCATTATTATTGTCAGTACATCAAAAAATTTCATATATTACCATTACCAAGAGTAGGGTGTCTTCTCCATGTCTGTGAGGAGGTCCTGTCCCAAGTGGAGGAGACTTGTTCATGAACGAGGGAAGAATGGAGCGGAAGATCAACAGGATGATTGGTGCTGCATCTGCAGTGATGCAGGCGTTGTACCGGTCTGTTGTGGTGAAGCGAGAGCTGAGCCAGAAGGCAAAGCTCTCGATTTACCGGTCGGTGTACGTTCCGACCCTCATCTATGGTCACGAGCTTTTGATTAACACAAAAAGCACATTCATGTAAACTCAGTGTTCTTTGTGATGGTTTCATGTGAGTTGAAGACAATATTGTTTGTGTATGTTCAAGCAGAACAAGCTTATTCCAGTGGTTTGAGTTTAAGTTTAAAATTAAATGTTGCCAAAAGTAGCTCTTTGACAATTTCATTTTGTAAAAGTATCTCTTAAGGAAAAAAAAGGATGGAGACCCCTGTTTTACACTGAACCCTGAATTAGGGTTCAGTTCTGTTTGAAAGTAAAATATCGATGCAACTCAGGAAGATTTGGTGATTGAATGTAACTCTTATTGTCCGATTGACTGTTAACAGGTCCTGTGACTGAGGTCAAGACTGACATCTATGTGACAAGTTTTGGGCCTGTTTCAGATGTTGAAATGGTTTGTACCCACACTCAACTCTCACCCTCAATATTTTAACGTTTTAAGCTTAAACACAACAAGACATTCACTCTTGTTTTGTGGAGTGAAACATGTCTCTACAGCTATGTTCACACTGCAGGCAAAAGTGAACCAAATTAGATTTTTCGCTTACATCCAACCCATATTAGATTTTTATGACAATCTGAATGTGACAAATCTGACTTTTTAAAGTCCAACCCAGGTATTTTTCATTTGTTGTAATAAATTGGCTAGATATCCAATTATCAGAGGTGTCAAGTAACTAAGTACAAAAACMTTGTTACTTTACTTAAGTAGTAATTTTGGTCATTAATACTTTAGTGGAGTAATTATTTTTCAGCCTACTTTTTACTTCTACTTCTTACATTTTAATTCAGTTGTCTGTACTTTCTACTCCTTACTTTTTAAAAATGCAAAAAGTATTTCATTTCTATTTAACTTTGAATTGTTTTTATTTCATCTTTTCATTGTTCAGAAAAAAATTAATAAATATAAATCTATCCAGACACATGGAGCCCATGGATAGAGTGAATTTGATTGTCATTGATGAGAAGTGTAAATATTTACCATTCTGACATCCTATTGGATTGAACTCACTCCATCACACCTGTGTGACACAAATCACATCACACTCCAGCAGGACAAACTGTAGCACAATGATTCCCAACCAGGGGCACAAGCACCCCTTGGGTTACGCGAGTATATTACGAGGGTAGGTGGAAAAATTTTCCAGGTTTACAAAAAAAAAAAAAAAGTAAAAATTACAATGCAGAAATTATGGATTTGACACAAAATTGAATCCAGTATAAAAAGCAGAATCTCAAAGAATTTGCTCATTTGCATGAATTTCTGATGTATTTTGGATGTTGCCATTTTTGCGCCTGCCATTACCTGGTTTACTTATTTAATTATGTTAGAATATGTTCTCATCTTAACTTGTCTTTGAGTTATTCTGTGTTCTGTGTTCATGTTCTCTAATTTACTTTGAAAGGTAAAGCTGCAAGTTCTGTATCCTGTCACTTTGTTTATGTGCATGTTGTACTGCTGTTGTCCACAAGGGGGCAATGAGAGTGAGTTCTTGTGAAAAGGCAGCACTGTTCTAATAAAGAGAAGTAGAGATGAAGTTAACTGAAGGTTGTGTGTTAGCAGTAAAGTGAACACAGCTATCTAACGAAAAGAAACTGAAGGTTGTACGTTAGCAATAAAGTGAACACAGCTATCTAACGAAAAGAAGTGTGATTCATTTTAAAAATGAGTACTGAACAAGAAAACCCAACAGGTTATGGGCCCAGGCATCGCACGGGAGGACGATGGGATAGACTAGTTTTCAACGGAGACGAAAACAACTGTGAACTTTGGGAGGTAAAGTTCCTCGCTTACTTGAGAACGCTAGGCTTAAAAGACACCATCCTATCTACCGTGGACCCAGACGAAGAGAACAACGCGGAATGTTACGCGGAACTAATCCAGGTCCTCGATGATAAGAGCCTGTCGTTGGTGATGAGAGATGCCHCCGACGATGGGAAGAAAGCTCTGCAGATATTACGCGGCCATTACGCCAGCCAGGGTAAGCCCAGGATCATCGCCCTTTACACAGAGCTCACGTCCCTGTTAAAAGAACCCGGCGAAACAGTGACAGACTATGTTTTARGTGCTGAAAAAGCAATAACGTCTCTGAGAAATGCAAAAGAGGTTATTAGTGATGGATTAATAATAGCAATGATTCTGAAAGGGATCCCAGAATCACACAAGCCTTTTGCTATTCACACAACACAGAGCAGTGAAGACTTGACGTTCACTCAGTTTAAGAGCAGACTTCAAAGCTACGAAGAGACAGAAAAGTTTGAAAGCAAACCGAAGTCAGATAATGTAATGAAAGTGGACATGACAACTGTAAACTGCTACAACTGTGGACAGCGCGGGCACATGGCGAAAGACTGCCGCCAAAAGACCGCGCCAAAATGGTGCAGTTACCACAGAAGTACAACTCATAGTGACGAGACATGCAGAAGAAGATCGAAACGGAAAGATGATGCCAAGCAGACTTCAGACATGCAGGACAACCATGTGGAGGACCAAACCATGGTGTTCAAAGTCAGCCAGAATCTTCTGCCTGACAACATCAAGCTTAATGGAATAATGGTGGACTGTGGAGCCACATCACACATCATCACTGATGAGGAGCTGTTCACAAGWATTGACAAGACTTTTGACCCAAGTAGACACTACATGGAACTGGCAGATGGYAAGAAGATGAACAATGTTGCACTGAAGCGTGGTGATGCACAGATTGAACTGTTGAATTCAAAGGGGAGGTATGTTAAAGTTACTATGAAAAATGCTTTATTCATCCCATCCTACCCACAGAGCATATTTTCTGTGATATCAGCTACAGCRAATGGAGCCAGTGTAACATTTACAGATGGGCAGAATGAACTGCTGAGCAAAGATGGAACTGTGTTCCCTATTGAGACACATGAGAAACTGTATTACCTGAGAATGAAAAGCAATAATGAAGGATGCATTGAGGAAAACTTAAATGACATGATGAACAGAGATAAAGTGAAGCTAGCTTGTGATCTGAAAACYTGGCATGAAATATTAGGYCARTGCAACATGGCTGATGTTCTGAAATTAKAAAATGTGGTAGAAGGAATGAAGGTCACTGACAACAGTAAGATGGAGTGTAACATCTGTACAGAAGGGAAATTTATCAACAGCAGAAACAAAGAGTCAGATGTTAAAACGAGCAAGCCACTAGAGTTAGTTCATACTGACCTAGCAGGACCTATTGACCCTATAGGCTTAGAAGGACARKGGTATGCTATTTCCTTTACTGATGACTTCTCAGGATCTATTGCAGTCTACTTTCTGAAAAACAAAAGTGATGTGACTAAAGCAACAAAACAGTTTCTGGCAGACTGTGCACCCTATGGTAATGTTAAGTGTTTTAGGTCTGACAATGGTACCGAGTACYCATGTAATGATTTTCAAACACTACTCAGAGATAAAGGCATTAGACATGAAACGTCGTCACCGTACTCCTCACACCAAAACGGAAAAGCAGAGAGACAGTGGAGAARGCTCTTTGAAATGGGAAGGTGTATGTTATCAGAAAAGGGCTTACCRAAAGAACTGTGGCCATATGCTGTTCAGTGTGCTGCCCACATTCGCAACAGATGTTATAGTAACAGAACCAAAAACACCCCATATTTCTTGATGACAYGAAGAAAGCCTGATCTTTCAAACATGTGGGTATTTGGATCAGAGTGTTACTCGTACAACAACCACCACAAGAAACTAGACTCAAGAGGGGAAAAAGGACTGTTTTTAGGGTACAGCAAGAACAGCCCAGCTTATTTGGTGTACCATCCACAGGTGAGAAAAGTTTCRAGACATAGGCTGGTAAAGTTCATCAAAGAAAATGGTGTTGACCAACAGACACAGACAGATGTTTGGGATGTAGGGACCCAGGATCATAGATACCRGATGCAGACAGACGGACATGATGTAACACCCTTAACCCAGGATGTTACCCAAAATGTAACCCCAAGTGACAAAGAYGAAGTTACTCTTCAGGAAACTCAAAATGCAGAGTTTTCAGATTATATCACTGGGAGTGAAATTGATGATGATCAAACTCAAACAAAGTAAAGCAATCGTTATCCAAAAAGAGAGAAAAGACCCCCAAAATACCTTGCAGATTACCAATTAGATTCTAAAACTAAAGATGCAACACAGATAACTGTTGATCACGGTTACAGGGCTGTGTTTGGTATCCCTCAAACATTCAGTGAGGCTCAGAAGTCACCACAGGCAGACAAATGGAGACAGGCGATGAGGGACGAAATTGACTCGCTTAAAGAAAATGAAACATTTGAACTGAGCATTCTACCAGAAGGTAGGAACACAGTTGGAGGGAAGTGGGTATATACGCTTAAAGAAAATGAAGGAAAAGAGATTTTCAAAGTATGTAGCAAAAGGCTACAGCCAAACAGAAGGTATAGACTACCATGAAACTTTWGCTCCAACAGCTAACATAACATCAGTGCGAGCATTAATGCAGATAGAAGTTCAGAACAACCTTAAAGTACATCAGATGGATGTCAAAACAGCTTATTTGCATGCCCCAATTGAAGAAGAAATTTACTTGGAACAGCCTGAGGGTTTTGAACAACAGACAGAAACAGGACAAAAATGTGTGTACAAATTAAAGAAATCTCTGTATGGATTAAAACAATCAGGGAGAAATTGGTACAAACTCCTGAACGATCATCTTGAACAAAACAACTTTGAAAGGAACCCAGTTGATCATTGTGTGTACAGAAAACAAACAGAAAATGACACGGTTATCGTGCTCATCTGGGTGGATGACTTGATCATTGCTGCTAGCAGCATTGAGGTTTTGGACAGTTTCAAAGAAACAATGAAATCAAAGTTTAACATGAAGGACTTAGGAAAAATATCACATTTTTTAGGCATACATTTTGAACAAAAAGATGATGAAATAAAAATGAGCCAAAAGAAGTACATCCTGAAAATGTTGGAAAAATATGGAATGTTGGACTGCAAACCAAGATCGACCCCATGCGAACTAAGACTTGATCACAAAGAAATCATGAGTGCGATGAAGCAAAAGAAATAAATCCTACAAACTATCGCGAGATAGTAGGTAGTCTGATTTATGCCATGACCTGCACCAGACCAGACATCAGTTGGATAGTGAGCAAACTATCCCAGACATTAGCTAAACCTATAATAGAGGATTTAGTGAGTGCTAAACATGTTTTGAGGTATCTAAAAGGTACTTGTGACTATGAACTAAGTTTCAAGAGAAACAATGAAGACTTGAACCTTATAGCGTACAGTGACTCTGACTGGGCATCTTCAGTAGAGGACAGACGCAGCACCACAGGCTATTGTTTCAGTTTAACGCCACAAGGTCCAGCCATTTCCTGGAAATCCAAGAAACAACCAACTGTGGCTCTTTCCACATGTGAGGCTGAGTACATTGGGTTAACAGCMACTACACAAGAAAGTCTATATTTAAGTCAACTCTTAAATGGCATTGATAACAAGAAGTACAGCTGTACAATGCTTCATGGCGATAACCAAGGGGCCATTGCATTATGTAAGAACCCTGTGAACAGACAGAGATCCAAACACATTGATGTGAAGMATCATTTTATACGTGATGCACTGAGAGAGGGAAAAATCAATGTGATGTACTGTCCATCTGAAAATATGTTTGCTGACATCTTAACCAAACCTGCAACAAAAGCAAAATTTCTGAAATTTAAAGGATGGTTTTTTGGACATTAAATATTTGAATGTAAAMAAGATGAGAACAAGGGAGGGTGTTAGAATATGTTCTCATCTTAACTTGTCTTTGAGTTATTCTGTGTTCTGTGTTCATGTTCTCTAATTTACTTTGAAAGGTAAAGCTGCAAGTT